GAAAGGAGCCTCTGCCTGTGACCCCTGGTTAACCCTTCACAGCCTGCAGGACGCTCAGCGACGATACGAGCTGTTTGTGATCTAAAGGTTTCTCCTAACTCGTATATACTTACATACTTTCTAGTGTTATAAGCAAAGTGTTCCACCTCCGAAAGCCTTTAGAGCAAGCAGAAAATACAACAATAAAAGAGCTATTTTATTTAAGATAAGACAGAAAATGACTGCATGCTTGTAGTAATTTAAACTGATTTACAGAATGCTCATATTTGAGTAAAAGTATTTAACTGTCAAAATACTGCATATTAATGAGAAAGTAAAATGTGACACACATCGGTCACAGAGCAGTGAGAGGGGTTTCCTCCGCGGGGCTCCAGGAGTTAGTCTGAGCCGCCGGTGGCCCCAGTGCATTGTGGGTCAGGAGTAGCGCTGAGGTAAACACTGGCCGTTTCTCAATCTCGAGGATACTGGCTTCCAAGCAAGCATGCTACGTCATCGAGTGCCGCCGAAGGACTATTCCAATCTCCAGCATACTTGGAATTCCACCGAGGCCGCGTCCTTGGTTTGGGGGTAATTTCGAGGCTGCACATGGGTAGACTTCGCGTCCTTAAAATCCCCACAATGCTTTGCGCACGGTCCAATTTCAAAAACCCTTGTGGAGAATGGCTGAACCGACGCAGCACACATATAAATGTAAGTATGTAGTGGCGTAGAACATGTGTTGGTAAATATGTTACTTTGTTTTTTTGTTATCACCAGAAATGTGTTCCGTGAAAGTAAAGCAAGTTCATAATTAGATAGACATCGTGAGGTATTTATTTTCGGTACAGTTTATGTTGAAACCGTTAGAGAGAGTGGCACACTTGTTAGCCTGTTCCATTCTTCTTCGTTTTCCGAAGCCGCGGCTTGGAAATATACTGGCTTTGTTTCTGAAGGAAGTGACTTGGAAGTACGCGACTACCAAACCAGCATCCTCGCGATTGAGAAACGGCCACTCCCTGCCAAAAGGAGGAGGACTAAAGACTTGAAACAGTACGGGAGGAGGAGGTCACATGACTCCACCTGCAGTCACCTGACCCTCGGACACAGACTGAGGGAACGAGCAAAGTGGAAGATCATTTAGGGTCCAGCGTCTGGGAGTATGAGATTCAGACACGCTTTCAATAATACAAAAATACTATTAATTTAATTTCTTGTTATTATTGTATTTCTCCATTATGTGTAAGTATTACAGAACTATGAAAACTGCTCAAAGTGATTCATATGTAACCCTGTTCTGTTCTCAGTGCGGTGACACTAGTAATGAGTATAGCATTTGATCAGCTTAAAATACATAATAAATAACAAACAATAAATAATA